TACTATTTTTTTAATTGATGAGCTTGCCAACAAAGCAAATAACAGGAAACTGTTTGTATAACGGTGAATATTGAGGTTTAGACTGGGTTTGTGCTGGTAAATCCATCTTTGGACTTTAATCTCCGGGGAATCCCTCGAAATCCTGACGGATTGTTAGCCAGGACACTAGGACAGAGAAACTCCTCTTTTTGAATAGCGCCATGGGATCTTTAACGTCCATTTTAACAGGTAGACGTGGCTGAGGTTTAACGTCTCATCCGAAGAACGTCACCTCCAACAATGCAACGCCCCATCCCATCACTGCAGTGTAGACCGATGTGATTCAAAGTCCCAATTTGGACTTGAACCCACAACCTTCTGACTCAGGGGCTTGAGTGCTACCACTAAGCCAGGAGCCTGGCACATGTAGTACTGTGTTATGAACCCTCTGACTTCGAGCACTGACCTCAAGTCAAACAGCCTCACTTCATACTGCTTCCTGCATTTATACCAGGTCCCACCGATTGGCAGGCGTTGCTTGCTCTCGTCTCTCACACTTTGTGGGGGAGGTAAGTGGATCTCCTCAGGGCAGGACTGACCCCATACTGATGTGCCTAGCCATGGAATGTCGAGTCATCCCTCTGTGGCGATCTCAGTCACTTAGCCAGGTAGGTCCGCAGTATTCCAGGGTATTGCTGATGGCAGCCCAGCCCAGATGGGCTCATTTGTGGGACTTGGAAGGGCACAGTTGTCCCTGGGGGGTAGGGACTCTTCCCACTCAACTCCTGTTAACCCTGCAAGTCAAAGCTGTAATGGGTAGGATAGTCCTACCTGGACAAGCAATGGCAAGTTCGCCAGAAGTGCAAAGGGTAAATATCTGTCAGTCGATACCTGTGGGATCCTGACAGCAATTTTCACGGGAGCGCTCGGGAAATGACCCGATTTCCCAAATAGCCAGTCCGCCCCTGTGCAGCGGTGAAATACATAGGTGGAACTCTGTCTGGTTCGGACATTCTCGAAGCACAGTGTTGAGTTTCCACGCGCGTCAAAACAGCACTGTTGTGCAGTCTGCCGGTGGCAGTGTGGAGAAGGAGGAAACTCCGATCTCACGGACAGGAAATGCTCAGAGTAACAACCCATTTCCTCCGCAATCTGCCTATCGTGTTGCCGCATTATAGAATCGCATTAGGCGATTCAAACTGAAGTGGACATGTTAAAAAAGCAATAATTTAGTCCCTGCTTCCGATCCAGCATTGGAATGGCTCAAAGCGCTTCGCAGAAAGGCGGAGTTTGGGAGCGAATGGATATCTTGCAGTCTTCGATTTTCCTTTAGGGAAGAGGGAGTCTCTGTACGGAATGTTCCGGCAACAGATAATAAAATCACAATGATACTTGCACTTCATACACTGCCTTTGGAGCCCTGTATCTTAGTGATTAAGAGCGATCGCATCACAAGCGAGAGGATCTGGGTTCAATTCAATTCCCAGCAGGGCGAAACATTGGGCAAGTTTCCTTACTCCACACGCCTCTGTTTACCCAGCAGTACGTGGGAACTTGTTTGTTAAGTTGACTGTCAGATCGCTTTTCTGAAGGTAATATTCCCTTCAAAAACATTTTTTTAAAAATAATAATTTGGTCACGCAATCCACAGCTGTTTGTGGGACACTGCTGTGAACAATTGGCTGCCACGTTTCGCCCACAAAATACAGTCAATTAACTTTACAATACATTCTGTGAAACGCTTTGAGATTGCTCAAAGATGAGATAAGGCGCTACATTAAATGCAACGATTATTATTATTATTCCATGTCCGGAGGACGTTTTATAGCACTTTACAGGGTTTTCTGTAAAGCGGAGTCTACTAGACACAAACTCAAAGCCGGAACTCCCCGTCCTCTCCTTCACGTCAGTCTCTAGCATTCAGACATCCTATCCCTGGAAACAGCTCAGCAAAATTCAAACTTAAACACGAGTCGGTATGAAATTATATTTATATTAAAAAGTTATTCAGTTTTCCAGATCCTTCCATTGGCCAGCTGGGAGGCTTTGTAAGTTGGACGTTTCCCCAGCATTTGCTCATAGCTCGGCTCGGTGGTCCTGTTCTGTCTGAGAGACACTCTCTGCGGTGTTATCATTGGGAAACTATTTGCCCATTTTCCATTTTAAACATGTCTTTCAAGGAGCCTTCAAACGTTCCAGCTGGAGCCTGTCCAGGGCTCGGAACTCAAACCACAACATTCTCTCCAAAGAACCACCATTCCCAGCAACTTCCCCAGCTCCTTCCCCCCCCCCCCCCACTTCAGCACAGTCTGGGAAGAGCTCTCCCACCCCAAAATCAGAGACACCTCCATCTCCCCCACTCCGTACCCCATCTTCAGAGACCTCTCTCTCTACCCCAGTGCATCTCTGGGCTTCCGAGGGCTGAAATTCCATCCGTTCACAGCCTGTGACAATATTTTTCTCTAAACGTTTTTTAAGGCGGCCAGAATAATGCAAAATGCTTCAATCTGGAAACTGTTCATTTAAGAATTATGGGGGGGTGGAAAACCACTTTGAAACCGAAGCCTGAATCTATTCCAGAGTTGGGTATCATCTTAAAAGTGGGATGCTCACTTTTGACTTTGCCTTCTTCTAAACAAAGGGGAGAGCAGTGAATGTAGAGATAGCGTTGTTTGCTCACTGTGTGTAAAGACTGCACTAGGAACACAGGGTCAGCCTTTACAAGCCTCGAGTGACATTAGAGATTGGAGGGAGCATGTTCCCACAGCACAGAGTCTCTCAGAGCCAGCCTCCCTCTCCAGTTCGCTCTCTGTTAGTTACTTATGCACGTTTCAGTGCAGGGAGCATCTTCCAGAGAAACTCGGTAACATACGGCAAAAGGCAATGGACAATAAATCCCAAGCAACACCCTAAGGTACACCAAGAAAGCACTACAGGAAGGCGCAGGTTCAGGGGTATCAAGGGCAGGTTTAGGAACGACACCAGGAAGTGTTTTTTTTACACAGCTGGGAACCAGGTTACCAGGAAAGGATGGAATGTATTTAAGAACCAGCTCAATGCTATAGCAGGGGGAGGAGGTTCTGGAAGGATGAGATCAAATAGACCGAAGATTTTTCCAAAGCTCCCTTGCGATGTTTTGCTGAGCTGGGATGAGGCGAGTTCTATAGTCAATGGGAGACTAAACTCTAAAACACACAGGCAAAGCAATATACAGTTTGTCTGTAAGTCCATACAAAGCTGCGCGGAATGGAGAAGGCCAGGCAGAGAGAGGACAGATTTAAAACAGAACCACAGCTTGCTTTAATAAGTTGCCATTACGTCAGCACTTCCTGTGTCTAATCAGATCCGCAGTGGGACTGGTGTAAAAAAGACAACACTCAGAATGGGAACAATTTGTCTTAAGTCTCTGATGAGGCTGTTTTCAGACTGAACTAAAGCCAAATCTGTCCTTCCAGGGGTTACCAGGTTCTGCCCATGTGGCGAGGGGGTGGGGTTATATGTGGTTTAATCCACAGAGCTGGTTGCCTTGGTTTATGGAGGGTTAATTACCTAGAGCTTCACCATCTGAAAGCCATCTCCTCGCACGTGTGGCTCATCACTGTGTGATTACAGTCAACGACTCGCAATCACGGCCCATCACTGCATCAAAGCCTCCCTGGATTATCACAGCACAGCTTGGCGTGGCATGGAGAGAGAGCACAGCATGAATTGGCACCGCGAGGCCTGGCACAGAGCAGCCTGGAATAGCTCGGCACAGCATGGGTGCCTGGCATGATATGGAGCCTCTCTGAATCTGATACAATGCACCTCTTCGGGGGGCAATAAGCAGGGGGTGGGTGATACCCGCAATATATAAACTGGAAGTACCGATGGGCAGGATATACATCCCCAGGTCAGAGACAGCACGGGTTAGAGTTAGAGTGAAGCTCCCTCTAAAGAGCTCAACATCGAGCCTCAGAAGTGAAGGAAGTCGCTGCTATACCAGTGTGGCGTTTCTGTGTGAGGCTCAGCCTCAGTTTAGGGGAGAGACAATGCGGGGCCAGGGTGACTGAGAGCTGTTCCACCCAGTGATAACTTCATTACCTGTCTGAAGAGCTTCACATCAACTCTCCCCCTCTTCCCAGCATCAGCAGCTGGGATCTCAGAACCTGCTCTATAGAACTCTCCTGAAATTTCTCCGCCTCACCCACTCCCTCTCCACTTTCACACCCTATCTCAAAGCCTATCACTTTGACTGTGCCTTGCGCCGCCTCTCTCCTGTCCCCTCCTCTCACCCACTCTCCATCAAACACTTTTGAGACTTCCTTAACCACAAGTTGTCCTTAAATAAAAGCGATGAAGAAATACAAATTATAATAATAAATGCAAATTGTTGCTGTCTCATTAAATCGGGATCCTGCAATGTTAATAGAGGCGTTTGAGAACAACAATCACCTGAAACATCAAAACATCTCAAAGCGCTTTGCAGGTATTTACTGTAAGTGTAGTGACTATGTATTTGTAGGCAAACGCGGCAAGGAATTTGTGCAGAGCAACGTCCCACAAACAGCAACAAGGTGAGTGATCAATTTTATCTGGAGACTTGTCGTCCAGTACACTAGGTGATACTCCCTTCTTTTCAAATAGCACAGCGGGATCTTTAAGGTCTATTTGGACAGACATAGGCGGGGAACACGTGCAGTGTGTATAGTGGGGGCATAGGCATGGGGGCTGGGCGTGTGTGTACTACGTTTAGCAGCTGTGAACAAGGATGAAAAGGAGTCGAGACAGGGAACAGTGGCAGTGGCAGGACTAGGCAAAGCGCTGCAGTTTCAAACATGATTCCTTTGATCTGTTGAGATGTACGGAGATCCCCTGGGAGAGAAGCCACAGGTCTGCATGGAGAGTTCTCGGTCCTAGTGCCTGCCCTGCATTTGGTGATTTAACCCCACTCCCTGCCCGCAATGGGGGTTCGGCATTGGCATAGCCGAGCATCGTCGCATGACCCCTCCCCCTTCCCTCCACCCTCCCACAGCTCGTACCTCAAAGACATCTTCATCCAGGATTCTGGTGCCGAACACAAAAATGCCATTGGTGTCGACGACCGGCCTCTTGCTCCTCTCTAGGGCTTTGGTCGATTTCTTTTTGCAGTCCAGGATCAGGGTGACTGTCTTCTTGTGGACGCTGATAGCAATTCGGTGCCACCTGTCGGAGTGTGGACAGCAAGACAGCGCGTCAGACACCAGAAACGAGACAAGACACTCCTCGGAGCCCGATAATCCCAGAGCCTGGACGAACCCCCCAGCCCAGCCCAACGTGCCCACGGTAGTGCGAGATGGGGTAGGGTGGTGGGGTGGGGGGGGGGCAATTAAAAGATCTGCTGGGATCTGATAAAACAGCCCAGCGAGTGAGCTCGACAGGTGAATGGCCTCCTTCTGTTCCTGTGTTCCAGTATCACTGACAGATCCCCATTGCAATCTGTCAAGTCAGGACTCTCTCTCCTGAACAACAACAACAACTTGCATTTATATTGCGCTCTTCACCCCGGACAGTGTCTCGAGGCTCTTAACAGCGGGGGAACTCGATGCCGAGCCAAGTGGGAGGGGGAAGGTGACTGTAGGCACGGTCGAAGAGAAGACTAGCAACAGTCCTCACATTTGATCCCTTGCCCACCACATCTTATCGCTTCAAACCATTTTCAGGGTATTTCCATCAGGTGCCGTCCGTGACTGTATTTTGTTTTTCGTGGCGGCCAATTTGCGCTCAGCAACATCCCGCACACAGCCAGGAAGTGAATGACTAATTTTATCTGGGGAATTGTTAGTCCAGACACCAGGAGAGCGAAACTCCCTTCTGTTTTTTTATATTTAAATAGTGCCGCAGGACGTTTAACATCTCATTCTCAAGTATCTCACTCCTCAGCATCAACCTGCCTGGAAGCACACCCCACTTCACGGAGCCAGAGTGGATTCTCAGTATCTTGTTGAACTCCAAACTGTCCTTTAAACCCACACATCCATGGTCTGACCCACTCAGCTTTCCCCGCCTCTGCCATTACCTCTCCCCTCGGCCACTGAGACCCTTATCCACACATTCATCACATCCAGGCTAGACGCCAACACTCTGCTTACCAGACATCTTATCTCTCCAAGTTGCAGACCAGCTAGAATTCTGTAGCCTGTGTCCTTTCCCACACACAAGGCTCCCTGAGCCCATCACCCACCCCCCCATCCTCACTTGTCTCTATTGGCTCTCTATCCCCAGGGGAGAGAGTTCAAGATTCTCGTTCTCACTTTCAAGTCCCTCCACGGTCTCACCCCACCCTATTTCTGAGACCTCCTCAGTCCATACCATACCAGTCGCTCCCTTCACTCTGAGTACTGTGCTTCACGTTCCCCACCCTACCTACCCACCCCATTATTGGTGGGTGAGCTTTCAACCTTTCTGCTCGCGCTCTCTGGAACCCCAACCCGGAGTATTTTGTGTTGGTTTTGAATTGTATCCAAAAGACGGTACCTGCCACAATGCAACGCGTTCTCTCTGGTTAAAAAAAACACTCCAGAAAATAGAAATTGAAAGATTTATTACCTCCTGCTCATTCCCTCTTTAATCTTGCCGCCCACCCCACCCCCCCACCCCAAGTTCCTAGGATTTGTCCCCCTCCCCTCACTCTTAATAACGTAAGAAACATTCCTTGGCTTCATATTTTTACATCTGCTGCCCTCTCTCTCTGCACCTCTCTACCTGCATCTTGAACCACTTGCTGAGGCCAGGTTTGGAATAGAGTGATTGCTCATTGTAACGCCTACATCAACCTGATTCCCCCTCCCAAAGCTCCGTCCTTAAACACTCTTGTCTTCAAATCTAGCATCTAAATCTGAAAGTCGTCCTATCCAAGCAGCAGGAAAGCTTCCAGACAGCGCTACCAATGGCAAGCTTCGCGGTTTTAGCTGGGTAGCTGCCCATTGATAGCAGTTACCCCAGTGCACACTCTGGGGTCTCCAAGACTTGGCTCTTGCCAAAGTGGGCCTAATACTTTCCACAGGAAAGCAGGATGTATCCGTCCAGGACGAGTGAGTGTGCATTCCATTCCAACAATCTATCTGCTGTCTCCCCACTCTCCCCCTCCAACCGCCAGCCCCCTCCCTTCGCTTCACTAAATCCCCTCGGCTTCACATCACCCATTCCCTCTCCTATGATATCAGTGTCCGAACTTTGTTCCCGCTGATTGGATCTCTCTGCTCGACACTCCCTCTCTCTCTGCTTTCAAAACCTGTCTAAAAACCCACCTCTTTAATTGACTTCCCCTTCAAAAGCAAAAACAACCTTCAGTCATCCCCTCCCACTCTGCTCAAACTCCCACACTGTCTCTGTGAAACAAGAGAATTCTCCATCATGAAAGACAATGAACAGTGTGAGGTGTTGTGAGAAATCTCAATTAAAAATAACAACCAGTATGTTCCTTTCACAACTCGGGAGCCTTTGTTAGTTTCTCTTCAGCCGGCGGGAATGTGGCACGCGCAGAAACCCAGCACCTTGCTTAGTATACTTCAGACTAAACGTTAGCGGGTGCCAGACCAAAGAGACTGCACTTACCCCCACAGAACTTAGCCCACTCAGCTTCTGTTAACTCTGCAAGCCAACGCACTAATGGGTATGGTGGATTGCCAAGCACTCCACTCTGAGCCAAATCAGTCGCCAACTGCTGGAGTCTAACCTCATAGCTTGCCATTGAGAGCGCTGTTTGGCAAACTTTCCTTCTGCTTGTCCAGCTAGGACCAGCCACCCGTTAGCCCATCAAGGATGGAATGAGAGAGGACTGAATGTCAGACCTCAGGGAGGTAATGGAGCGGTCAGTGTGCACGTACTTGCCATCCGCCAGGTTGATGCCATTGAAGACCGGGTAGTTCTCGGCACTTGGTTTCCCAGTTTGATCTTCATACAGGAAGATGGGACTCCGCCCAATCTCCACCCCCAGTTGCTGGATTCCCTGCTCGTTGTAGATGGAGAGCAGGAACGAGCCCCTTCCCTTTTTGGCTCTTAGTGTTGTCAGGATAGAGAAATTCTCGGGAAAGGGGGATTCTGTGGGAAAGAACGGAAAATGGAGAGAATGAGTCATCGCTGGGGAATGGCGGCAACAAAGCAGCGGGTGCACTCTGACCTCCAGAGAGAGCCACCTTGCTCCCGAGGTCAGATCAGTACAAAGGCTGTGCGTGGCTCCCGTGACACCCGGTGGCACAGCCAGAGTTTTTTGGGGACCCTTCAGCATCCAGGACTCTGGCTGTAAGCCCTAAAGCCCCAGTGTTACTCCATTCATGGGTATAGGGATGATCAATGTTACAGTGAGGGGTGTGGGGAGGGGTGTCAGGCTAAGGGTGGGGGAGATGGGGTTGGATGAGGGGGCCTGATGTGGGGAGGGGGTCGGATGAGGGGAGGGGGAGCCAGATGGCGATGGTGGGGTGGGGGACCCGGATGGGGGGAATGTGAGCTGGAAGTGGGGCGGAGAAGCTGGATGTGGGGCGGGGGAGCTGGATGTGGGGTGGTGGGGGGAGCTGGATGGGGGTGGGGGAGCTGAATGTGGGGTGGGGTAGGGTGTTAGGGCAATGTGTGGCTAGCCGTTGCTGTGAGCAGCCTCTGGAACTCAGTGAGTGACATGGCCTGACCTATCCCATCTTCCCTGGTGGCAGAGCCTCGTCATTGAGCTGCAGACATTCAGAGCAAATTAAAGACAGCTTTTCTATCCTCCATTAGCTCATAATGCAGCGCTCACCGAGGGTACTCGGGCTGTATCCATGGCAACCGCCCCCATAAAAATGTAGCAGCCATACCATTAGATTAGTCACTTCCTGTGCTGAGCGCTCACAGGCCTTTGTTAGCTCGGAGCTTAAGTGAGATCTTTCTTTTGCAGTTATTCCATGAATGTTTCTGGAATGTTGCCAGCTGGTTATTAGCTGATGTGACTGACGCGTTGCTCGGGCAACGGCTCTGCTCGCCCCTCCTGCCCCAGAGCCAAGAAACTCCCAGGACCCCGCCTCAGATCCCCTCTGTGGGTACTAGCCTCCCCGAGTCTCCTTCCGCATCACAAGGTTGCAGGTTCAAACCCCACATCAGTACTTTGAGCTCCTATTCTGGGCTGACTCTCCAGTGCAGCGCTGGGGGAAGCACTGCATTGTTGGGAGACGCCGTCCTTTGGAAGAGATGTTAAACCGAAGCCTTCTCAGGTGGACGTTAAGAAGATCCCGTGGCGCAGATGTGTGTGGAGCGAACTGGATCGAAAGCCTGGCAGAACAGAGACGAGGACTGAGCACAACCCCAGAATCTTTGCAGCAATCACAAGAAAGGTTTGGAGGCTGAAGACCCTTTGGCCCATCTGATCTCATTCTTGCAGAACCCCCACCCGTCTGTCCTCCCATAAAAGCACGTCACACTGTTTTTGAAATGAGTCCCAGCATCTTGGCCTCAACTACCCATCCCCCAATTCCCCTCTATGTAAAGAAATATTTCTTGTCATCTGTCTTGAAATCACCCTCCAACACCCTGGACCTGTGTCCACTAATCCTACTGCCTTGGCGTAGCTGAGAGTTACTCTAGGTTTACTTTCTCAACCCGTATATAGAGTTGGATGAGTTCCTTCAGCCCTCAGGCAAGGCGCCCTTCACTTACACTCAGAATAAACAACAACAACCAAAGATCGTCATATCTGACACAAAGCCGGCATCATCAAACCATCTCAGATCGCTTCTCAGGAAATTGCTGGTGAATGTAGTGACTGGGCATTTGGAGGTTAAGGTGACAAGTAATTTGCACACAGTACGGTCTCACAAGCAGCCAGGTGGATGAGAGAATAATCTGAAGGATTTTCGGACAGGAGAAACTCCCTTCTCTTTTACAATAGAGTTGCAGGATCTTTAACGTACACTTCAAGAGTGTAGACAGGACCAATGGCTTAACATCTCACCCGAAGGGTGATGCCTCCAACAATGCAGAGCTCCTCACCCCGGAACACCACTGGAGCATCAGCCTAGACTGTAGGGTTTGAGCCCAAAACCTTCTGACCCAGAGATGAGAACGTGAGTGACCCATAACCGATTGAGACTGAGTCACGAACGGCATTCCAGAAGCTTCCGACTGACGGATTCCTGCGAGCTCCACCCTGGCTCAGTGCGAGCTGAACATGCTCCACAGATGTTGGCAAAGAGCAGCGAGGGCTCTGGTAGGTCAGTGAAATTGCTCAGGGGGAGCAAGGGTTAACCGGAGCCCGATGGGGAGAGGGAGAGAAGAGGCCACTTCTCACAGAGATTCCATTGTTGTGCCACCAATTACAAATTAGACCACGTGGGCAAACCATTTTAGAGATATTAAAAACTGATTGGGATGAAGTCCAGGCTCAAAATTCATTTATTTCCAGAACTGAGTAAATCAATGCTTTGGCAGCAGAGAGTCCCAGAGCAGCTGACAGTCCAATTCTGTTGAAAACATCAGTTTGTTTCCCAGCAGCTGTCTGAAGATTGTTCGTCCCACGGAAATCTTGTAGCGGGATCCATTACTTGGCTCAATTGGTAGCACTCTTGCTTCGGGCTCGAGGAGTTATGGGTTCCAAACCCCACGTCAGGGCCTTGGAGCTCCTAGTCTAGGCCAATGCTCCAGTCTGGTGTTGGGGAGAGCGCTGCAATGTTGGAGGAGCGTCCTTTGGATGAGATATTAAACCAAGTTCCCTGTCTGTGCCTGTTCGTGTGCATGTCAAAGATCCCGCCACGCGATTGGAAAAGAGAAGGGAGTTTCTCCTGGCTTCCAGGCTGACAATCCCTGAGATTAATCGCTCATTCTACCTCACAGCTGTTTGCTAGATATTATACTAATCCTTCAGTTTGAAATCGTGCCTTATCATGTTGGTGAAACACCTCAAAGCACTTCACATGATATACTGTAAAGCGGTGTGACTGTGTTATGGGTGAACGCGGCAGCCCAATTGCACTCAATGAAAACAACTTCATTTATATAGAGCCCTTCACACAGGGTAGCGTCCCAGGGCGCTTGACATTGGAGGAGCACGACACCTCAGTAATGTCCCACAAGCAGCCACGGGAGTGATCAACCAATTTTATCTGGGGATTTGTTGGTCAGGACACTGAGAGAGAGAGTGAGAGAGAAACTTCCTTCTCTTTTTGAATAGTGTTGTGGGGTCCTTACTATCCACAAAGCCCCGATGCGGGGCTTGAACCCACATCTTCTGTTGTGAAAGCCAGAGTTCGAACAACCCAGGCCACGCGGAAACCTGCTGCACTCGGGCTTGACATTTGATGAACACTGATCCAAACCATCAACCACATAACCAGCATACCCCTCAGGTAAGCTTCCTGTCCTCATCCCAGCCCCCTCAGCTCTCGACTCCCAGTGTCTGCCTGGCTCATTCGCTCACATTCTTGTCTCTGGGTCAGGATGCCGTGGGTTCAAAGCCCCACGTCGAGATCTTGGCTGGTGCTCCAGAACAATGCTGGCGGGGAGTGCTAGATTGTCAAAGGTTCGGTCCTTCATATGAGATGTCAGTTCGACAGGGTGTTCACAAAGTCCTGTTACCCCCTGTGGGGTTTTTCTTTCCTGACAATAATTTTTTTTATTTTCCGTTGCAGACGAGTCGAGTGTAACGAAGTCCAATACCAGTAACTTCCTCCTCACTCGCTCCATCCGTGTTACGGAAGATGTGGCGATGGATCATTATCTGCCATGAAAATGATGGCGCTCTCTCTCTCTCACACTCACTCACACACTCACACACACACTCACTCACTCACACACTCACTCACACACACACCGAATACAATTATTGAATACAATTAAGTAACTTGTAAATACAATTATCATTCTTCCACATGTCTCAGTTGTTGGGACAGTGCATTGTGTGTAAGAAAAAAAGGGTGGAGGGGTGGGGGGGTAACAGGACTTTGTGAACAGCCTGTACATCCTGATCCCTGACTGTTGGGACGTCCTCCCGACGTGAAGGGCGCTTTACAAATGTAATTTTGCTGTTGTTGTGGAGCTGTTCAGGGGGACGGACGTTAGGGAGGCCGGAGGCTTTTCCACTGAATTGAAACTTCTTATCCGAACACTCTTAATGCAAAATACTGCAGCCTTCAAACTGCAGATACATATAATTCCGGGCAGGAGCCGAGCCCCAGACAACGCCGGCAAATTTCAGTGCAAACCTCGCCAAGTTCCCATTCCAACTGCACTCAGTCACTCCAGCCTTTCCCACCGCAAGCTGCACTCGCTTTATTTTCACTTCAGCAAAATAATATTTTCCTCACATAAGCTTTCACAGGGATCGGCAGAGGAAGCTACCCCCTTAATAATAATAATAATAATAATAATAATCCTTGCATTTGATATAGCGCTTTTCACGTCGGGAGGACGTCCCAAAGCGCTTCACAGAACACACTGTAAAGTGAATTGACTGTATATTTGTGGGCGAACGCGGCAGCCAATTGCGCACAGCAATGTCCCACAAACAGTCGTGGATTGAATATGACCAATTTATTATTGTTTTTTTTTGGAGGGATTATTATTAGGCTCTGTGTGGAGTAAGGAAACTTGCCCAAGGTTTCGCCCTCTGCCTGGAATTGAACTCAGGTCTCTCACTTGCAAAGCGAGTGCTCTAACCACTGAGCTACAGGACTCTACGTGTAATAGTGTAAAGTTAAATTTAACTTCCCTTCCCTCTCTTTCTTTCTCTCTCTCTCCTCCCCCTGTCTCTCTCTCGCTGGCTGCTTTTCCCCTTTTCTTCTCTCCCCCTTCTCTCCATCCCTTTTTTGCCCCTTCTTCCCTCCCTTCCCCGTCTCTCTCTCTCTTTCCTCCCCATCTCTCTCCTCCCCCAACCCTCTCCTCCCCCAACCCTCTCTCGTCTCTCTCGCTCCTTTCCTCCCCCTCCCCTTCTCCGGCCCCTCCCGCTCCTCTCCATTCTCTTCTCCCTCTACCTTCTCGCTCCCCCGCTTCTCTCCCCCCGCGCCCCCCCTATGTAAGCAGCCTCCATCTCCCTCTGCTGTCTCAGGTTGCAGCCTGAAGAGCTTTCCATTTGACACTGAAGGCAACACTCCCACCTTGTAGCAGACAGGTTGTGGTGGCCAAGCACTGGGAACTGCTCACAGTTTGGCGAGTCTGAGGCCGGGAGTGAATATTCCTCCCAGTGAATAGAAAACAGACGCTCTCACTGCCAGGCCGGTCCCAGGCAGGGCCTTTGCGCCAAGTCCTGAAACTGACACCACCTCTGCTCTGGCAGTGAAGGGCTGGATTTACAAGCTAGCGTTGCCAACGAGCACAGCTGGCTTCCATTAAACCCTTCATATGGGCCTGAAATACACATCAAAAGTACAGCCACAACCAGCTCATGTTTAGGCACATCTCTGCCCTTGCTCCATCATCTCCATTGCGCTCACACACACACACACACAGACAGACACTACAGACACTACAGTGATAGGACACTCAGCATGGATGTTTGACTGGAGAAGAAATCCACCCTTTTGTATCACATTAACAAGTCTCGGAAAGTTTAACTGCAATTACTCTTATGTCTCTTCCCCCACCCCATCCCCCCAACACATGCTCTCTCTTCCTCTAACTCATTCCTTCCAAGAACTTTCAGACAATGAACTCCTCCCTCACTCTTTCCTTCCCCCTACATTCTACAGGACTCCTCACCTCCCTCTTCCCTTCCTTCTACAGAGCTTTGCTTCCCATAATCTTTACTGATTTATCTGTGTGCCTCCTTCTTTCTATTCCGGTTCCTCGGTGCTGCACTCTCCTCTCCTGTTCTGTGTTCTCCTGTCCTTCACTCGGTTTCTCAATAACAAACACACCTCTCTAACTAATGCTTCCACTAAACACAGTGTAAGTTTTTTCCATTATAGGGATTCCAGAAATCCACAGGCGAGACTGTGTTGTCTGTGTCCAGTTACTCAGATCATACAATAACAATAATAATCCTTAATTGACAATCGAAACAGCCTTATTTCACCAAATCATCACATTGACGTAAAGACTCAAACACCAAAATATCTCAAAGCACTTCACGTTGCTAGCAAGTCTAGTGACTGTATATTTGTAGGCAAATGCAGTTGCCAATCTGCACACAGCAAACAGCTATGAGGTGAATGGTGCCAATAATGATACTAATAATCTTTGCAATTCATATAACGTCTCAACACGTCATTGAGATGCTTCGAAGCGCTTTACAGGATATAATGTAAAGTGTACTGATTGTGTATTTTGTGGGCGAAACGCGGCAGCGAGTTGCGCACAGCAATGTCCCACAAACAGCCATGGTGCGAGTGACCAATTTTATTTGGGGGATTATTGGCAGGACAATGGGTGAGAGAAACTTCTTTCTCTTTTCGAGTGGTGCTGTGGGATCTTTAATATCCACCTGAACAGGCCAACCGGATCTCGGTTTAATGTCTCATCCGAAGGACGGCACCTTCGACAATGCAACACACCCCCAGCACTGCATTTGGAGCATCAACTTAGACTACGTGATACCAAGTCCCGACATGGGGCTTGAACCCACGAGCTTCTGACTCAGAGATGAGAGCGCGTGCGACTGAGCCAGACTGACACTGACGTTAATGACTCCCCCCCCACCCGCACCAGCTTTTGCACAAAACGAACTACTCTAACTGCGAGGGGCCGAGTTACATAGTAACACCTCATATCCTGTGGGGTGAGAGCGTGGAACGTTTTAACACAAAGTGACTGTGAAGCCAAGTCAGTGACAGGGTCCAGAGCAGAAGTGACTGGGTAAAAACTGGCAAAAAAATTATAAAGCGGGAAGAAAAAGAGCAGAGGAATGGGATTAGAGGAGAGAGCTCCAGTGGGGGAGTGAGCACCAGCACAGACTCACAAAGTCACCAGATTGGTTCAGACGAGGAAGATGCAATCTCATCCTTAAGAACACCCAACGCAGCCTCCCCCTCAATCAGATCTTTTTAAACGAGTCCCTTGTCCTGGCCTCAACCGCCCTTCTTGGCAACTTGTTCCAGTCTTCCCGGTGTCTCTGTCCTGAAGCTGCTCTTTACATCTCTAGATGTAACTTAATTTGCAAGTTATCAGCCTGTGTGCATATCCCTATCTGTAGCACAACAACAACAACTTATATTTACATAGCCCCCTTCACGCGGGGTAGCGTCCCAGAGCGATTGACAGTGTCGGAGTCTGACACCGAGCCAGGGAGAGAGGGAGGGGGAGGTGACCAAACGCACGATCAAAAGGAAGGTCATTAGGCGAGATTTGAAGGTGGGGAGGGAGGGGTCAAGGCAGAGGGATTGAGGGAGAGAGTTCCAGAGTTTTGGGGAGTAGTGGCTGAAAACGCGGCCACCGATAGTGGAGCAGAGGGGACGAGGGACAAACAGGAGGTCGGGCCAGCCAAGCGGAGGCAGCGGATGGTGGAGTGGGGAGAAACCAGATCGAATAGGTAGGGAGGTGCGAGGGCATGAAAGGGTTTGAAAACGAGTGAGAGGAGCTTGTAACGATCCGTTCAGTAATTGGGAGCTAGTGAAGCCTGGCAAGGACTGATGTGATGGGGATTTTGTGCAGGACCATTGCTGCTTCCTCTGATTCCACACTCTTCCCCCGAAGTTGGTGTCTTCTGCGAATGTGACTATCTTACACTGTGTCTGCAAACCCAGGTCATTAATATATACAAGGAACAGGTGGGGATCTCTGAACAGACCCCAAGGCACTCTTTCCTTTCCCTTCAGCCAATTCTGAATCCACATCCATGTCTTGCCCCAATACCCAGTGACCACAGTTTGTGAAAGAGTCTTTCCTGTGATACTTTGTCAAAGCCTTTTGAAAGTCTAGATACACTACGTCATACAGCTTCCTACAGTCAGCTTGGGCTGCCACCTCCTCAAAGAAAGTCAATGAGATTGGTCAGATATGACCCATCCTTTCTGAACCTGTGTTGACTGTAATGGGGAAAGAGCAGGGAAAGCAGTTAGAGTAGAGAGCCCCGAGGGTGAAGCGAACACCACCACGGACACGATGGGGAGAGAGAGCAGGGGAAAGGGGTTAGAGTAGAGAGCTCCAGCACAGAACACAATGAGCCAAATGACCTCCTCGTGCACTGTGTGAGCTACAGGTTGTTGGTGACTTACTTGGATATATCTGTTTGGTTGGTGCACTGAGCTGAGCTTCTTTCCGAACTTTGTAGGCAACATCTGCTCCCTTTGATGATCTTCTGGGCTCGCACATACCTGTCGTCTTCTCTATACCTTCAGGGAACGATGCAAAATCTAAAATCTTCAAGATATCCGCTGGTTCAGCTGTGGAAACAAGAGACAGATAATTACAGGCTGCTCGCTACAGGCAGTGATCCCCTCTCTCCAGACACAATCACATCTCTGTCCGCTCACAAACTAGCTCTGACGTGAAACAATCCACACTCAGGTTAGTTTACATGAGGGTATATCCCATCCGTCCCCAGCCTCTGCCGGCTCCTTCTGATCACAACCCAGTGCCAGCAGGTGCCAGAATGTGCGAGAGACACGATGGTGTGAGGACAGCCCCGTCCTGCACAGCCCCCGTGCCCACACAGCCACGCACAGCCCCCCCCCAACCACCACACCCCCAAGTCTATGGATAGTATAACTAAGGAGAATTGTAAAGAAAGACCTCGAGAGGAAACCCACCCTGAATAAGGGTTCAGAGGCTTCTGGTGTGAGCTAGGGGCAAAGGCGGGCAATATGGTAAAGGTGAAGATAAGCGGTCTTGGTCAGAGACCAAATGTGAGACTCACTCGCACACATCACACACACGCATACTCTGATGCGCTCACGCACAATTGCGCTCACTCCTATTCATTCACTCACACACAGATGAACGCTCACACATTCTCGCAAGCACTGGCACACTCGCGCACACAATCACACGCACAACTGCACGCGCACACGCATTCTCATTGACACACATGTCCTCACACAAGCAGAACGTCAAACATTCAGACAGGTTACCGGGAGCTGTCCTTGTGCACCTCCTAGTGGCCAATCTGAGCACCGCGCATGTAGAGACTCCCCCCCCCAAGCTCACAGTCCAGGCTGACTCCCCAGTGTAGTGCTGGGGGAGTGCTGCATTGTCACAGGTGCTGTCCTTTTATCACACATTAACCAAGATCACATACATGCTTTTTAGGTGCATGTTACAGAAACCACATCTTGATTGGAAAAGAGAGGGAGTTTCTCTCTCCCGGGGTCCTGGCCAACAATCTCTCGGATAAAACTCACTATTCACTTCACGGGTGTTTGCGGGATTGTGTAGTGACTGTGTATTTCTTGGCCAATCGGTTTGTCAATAAATACACAGCCACTATACTTGACAGTATCCCCCTATCGAGTGCTTTGGAACATGATAGACACTAAATCAAGTGCAACAATCATAATATAACACATCCTGCAACCCTCACTGTGACACTGACAACCACACCACCCCTCACAAGAAAGCTGACACATCCCCCCCCACCCCCCTCAATGTAACCCGGACACAGCCAACATAGGAATACACGCTCAGTACTAAGGACATGCAGAGAAATAGTGGCCTGCTGACAGATCAGGGTTACAATAAACCTCACATCAGAGGCTGTAATTTATGTTTAATCTTTGAGTGCCTGTAATTGCTTCGGGAAATTACTTTTAATCTATTTAAAAAAATCTCTTCCCTGTAGAATATGTGACTCATTTAACATTGCACACGCATATTATACAGTGAGGGAAATCTTTCCAGCCTCTGGTTGCGCCGTGTCTGCAGTGGGAGCAGAGACGTCTATTCCAGATCCTCCCCTCCCTCCGCTGCCCCAGGACAACCACCAACACCAACATACACAACAATATCAGCACAAGATTGGTTAGAATGGAGAAGACTCGTTGGCCTAATTTGATCTTATTCCTCCCCACCCGCCTGCCCACCCTCCCATTACAGCACAAGTCGTTTCTTAATGAGTCCCAGCATCCTGGCCGAACCACCCTTCCCAGTGATTCTCAGTGACTCAGCTGTTGATCCCCCCCCCACCAACCACCCCATACAGCGGGGTGTGGGGAGTGGGGGGAAGGGCCGCGGTGTGGGTGGTGGGGGCTGGGCTGGGGGTGGGGGGTTTCGGGGTGTGGGTGGCGGGTGGTGGGGGCCAGGCTGGGGGGTGGGAGGGACCCGGGTTCGGGGGGCCGGGGTTTGGGGGGAGGGCAGGGGTGTGGGGTGAGGGTCCAGGGTGTGTGGGGGGTTGCGGTTTGGGGGGGAGCCAGGGTTTGGGGGGGCCGGGGTTTGGGGGTCCGGGGTTTGGGGGGGCCGGAGTTTTGGGGGGGCCGAGGTTTGGGGGGGCGGTTTATAGGGGGTGGGCTTTGGGGGGGTGGGCTTTGGGGGGGCTGGGTTTGGGGGGGCTGGGTTTGGGGGGGCGGGGTTTGGGGGGGCTGGGGTTTGGGGGTGCCAGGATTTGTGGGGGGGGGCGGGGTATGGGGGGTGGGCTTTAGGGGGGGGCGGGCTTTGGGGGGCTGAGTTTGGGGGGCTGCGCTTGGGGTGGCGGGGTTTGGGGGTGGGCCGGGGTTTGGTGGGGGTGGGCCGGGGTTCGGGGTGGGGGGCCGGGGTTTGGGGGGCAGGGGCCGGGGTTTGGGGTGTGGGTGGGAGGGAGGGGGTTATTGCACGGCGTGTGGAAGCACACTCGCTCTGTGACAGGGTGTCTGGCTGCTGTGAGCTCATTGCTGGAGCCTCTGTGGTATGAATGGAATGCGGTCCACGTGTCAAGTGCATCTGTAGGGTTTGTAACAAGGCGGCGATGTTCAGGGCAACACGTTTGTGTATGTGTCCAATGCCGGGAACAACGGCCCCTGAGCAGCTTAGATCATCTCTTTGACCGTGCCTTCAGCTCCCCTCTCGACTCTCTACCCCCTCCTCGCTCCCTCCCTTCCCTCCCCTCACCCTGACCATTTCCCCCCAATGCTCGGGTCCTGACCCAACTGTACAGCGCCTTGGACCCGACGTGAAAGGCGCTCCATAAATGGAATCTTGTTGTTGTTGTTGTTGTTGAATGCACTGACCCTTAACCTTAAGCCATTTCGTCATCTCCCATCTCAACTACTCAAATCTAAAACTCCGCCACCCGCTTACTCACCTGCACCAAACTCCGTAACCCCATCCAACTCCATACCCCCATCACACCAGTTCTAGCCAGGCTCCGCTGGCTCCCTATCACCAAATGGATGATCAATTGCAAGATCCTCACACTCGTCTTCAAATCCCTTCATGCCTTGGCACCTCCCTACCTTTCCGACCTGCTAACTCCCCAACCCACTACCTCCGCTCAACTGGCTCTGGCCTCCTGCTTGCCCCTTATGTCCCCCGTTCCACCATCAGTGGCTGCGCTTTCAACCACTATGCCCCGAAACTCTGAAACACGCTCCCTCAATCCCTCCACCTTAGCCCCTCCTTCCCCATTTTCAGGTCGCGCCTGAAGACATTCCTCTTCAACCGTGTCTATGGTTACCTCCCCCATTCCCCTGGCTCGGTGTCCTTCCAGCTCCCAAGTCATCGACAGCACAGGTTAGATGCAGTGTAAAGCTCCCTCTACACTGCCCATCCAGGTCTCCCAGATCAGCAATAGTGTCATATTAGAGACAGAGTAAATAAAGCTCCCTTTTGGGACATTGTTGTGTATGATTGGATCTTGCATTTCGTCCACAAAATACATAGTCCATCCACTTTACAGTATATCCTTTCAGTCGTCGCGACGATGTGATAAGGCGCTATATCAAATTCTATATCAAAAAGATTATTATTATTTACACTGTCCGTCCACACTCCCAGTCAGTAACAGCATGGGTTAGAGACCAAGTAAAGCTCCCTCTACAATGTCCATCCACACTCCCAGGTCAGTGATAGCACAGATTAGTGACAATAATAATAATCCTTCCATCTGATTAGCACCTTTCACGTCAAAAAGACATCTCAAAGCACTTCACAAGATTTACTACGAAGTGTAGTGACTATATTTTGAGGCATATGCGCACACACCAATGTGCCACAAACAGCCATGAATTGATTTTATCTGAAGGATTATTGTCTACTTTCTCAGGAGAAACTCCCCTCTCTTTTCAAATAATGGCAATGGATCTTTAACAATCACCCAAACACCTCATCCAAAGGATGGCACCTCAAGCAATGCACCTCATCCAATACTGCCACCGGAGTGTCAGCCTAGACTGTGAGCTCAAAGTCTTAGTGTGAGATTTGAACCCACACACAACCTTCCGAGGTGAGGTGAGAGTGTTACCGACTGAGCCAGGTTGACACCTCTACCAGCAAAAAAAAACTGATTGACCAAAAACTCTCCCATAGTTATAACAGAGCTGCCAGAACTCACATATTCTCACAAACTCTCTCACACACATACACCGTCTCTTACGCACACACCAGAAGCCAACAACCTTGAGAAGAGGAAAGAGCAGAAGCCTGTGACCGTGAACTGTGAGGAGATGCCGAATCCCAGTGTTACAAGTCTCCTGAGGACCTCCAGATCTACACCTGGTGTGGAACTGGGAGGGGTTGGGCGTGGCTGAGGAGGGGCTGGAGATGGGCAGGGCTGGGGAGTGTCAGCCTAGACTGACCCGCCCCAGGGAGGGTGGGAGGAGCTAGAGAGGAGGTCAGGCGTGGCTGGTGGGAAAGGTGGGGGAGCCACTGGGGAACAGGTTGGGAAGGGGCCACGTGAGGTGAGCTGGGCCAGAGAGGGAACCAGAGCTGATTGTTGGTATGGAGACTCAGTTGGAAAATCAGATGAGATGGTGACACGTGGCATCAAGACCAGTGTTTACCCACAGCAACGCCAGGTCAGAGAGTCAAGGGTCACAGAGTTCCAAGGGTCTGGGCATCACAAAGAGCCAAGGATCACAGTGACAGGCCACGGGCTGGTGAGCAGTCCACATAACAAGCATTTGGTTACTTCCCAGGAACCAGCCACACGTAATAGAATGGGTAACTGTCCAACACACTCACCAGCCTCTCCAGCAATAGTGTCACACCCAATAAAGAGAGACTTCAAATAATAATAATCCTTGCATTTGATATAGCGCCTTTGCACGTTGTCGAGACGTCTCAAAGCTCTTCACAGAACACACTGCAAAGTGACTGTGCATCATGTGGGCGAAACGCGGCAGCCGGTTGCGCACAGCAGTGTCCCACAAACAGCCATGAAGTGAGTGACCCATTTTATTTTGGGGGATTGCTGGCCAGGACACTGGGAGAAAGGGAAGAGAAACCCCCATCTCTTTTCGAATCGTGCCATGGGATCTTTAACGTCCACCTGAACAGGCGGAGGTAACCTCCAAAGGACGGCACCTCCAACAAACAACACTCCCCCAGCACTACATAAGAGTGTCATCTTAGATGATTTGATTCCAAGTCCCGATGTGGGGCTTGAGCGCACAACCTTCTGACTCAGAGATGAGAGTGCTTCCCGCTGTGCCGGGCTGACCTCCCTATAACACTAACGTATCCAGCAGACAATAGGAGTTAGGGTATAGGTCTTATAAAACAGACAAAAGTTACTCAGTTGGTTTGGATTGGGGGGGGGGGGGGAGGGCATTTAAATGCACCAATTTCCAAATAACATTCACAGTTAAAACACTCATTAATTCCCTGACATTCCGCAGAGCCTCAGTCTAACTGGCTGAACATAGCTGGCTGGCTCTGTCTGTGTCGGCTCGGAGATCCCAGGGGTCAAGAGTGGAGAGAGAAAGAGAAAGGGGAGGGGAGAGGGGGAAAGAGAGGAGAAATGCGAAGGGGGAAGATAGGGGGAAGGGAAGGGAGGAGGGGAGGGAGTATAGCTCCCTGGAAATAGAATTTCCCTCCCATTTCAAATAGAACGTAACTAAACACAATCTTCGTAGCTGTGTGAAACAGCCTGCTGAATGCAGGACGTGGCACTGTCTGTATAAAGTGACCACAGGGGAGGCTTAACCACATGCGCGATGACGTTTCGAGACCCTCACAGTGAATGCGTACTCACTACCCCCAACAACGCTCCCTCCCACCCACCCACCCCCCAATCAGACTTTAACATCAAACGTGGGCTGCAGGAACCCGCAGCTGGGAACACCCTCGTCTGAGAGTGTAGCTCACGCAACAGGAACCAGGGACGTATCTCTCGGCCGTGTTACAGGGTTGCCCCCTGAGACCCACGCTCCTCGGCCGCGACAAACCAATTAACTCCGAGAGCATCCTTGGAAATCCCGGCCCGGAAATCATTTGGTCGCTTCCCAGACACAAAAATGTGCAGATGGTGACATTGGATACAGCAGTAAACTTCCGATAACTCATCACTCCCCATAGAAAAGGGCTCAGTGACGAGTTATCCGGAGTGACAAGTTAGCCGTGCGGATAAATACATAAATAAATGCGGCTGAGATAATTGACAGCGTGATGGACGTCAGTGGTATTATGATGTTACTATCTCGGTCACATTTATTTGACAAGTTATCAGGAATTTACTGAAAAGGATCGCTATTCGGGGGACACTATTATCCCCAAGTTGGCCGGCAGCTTTTGCCTACAACGTACGCAGTCACTACACTACACTACACTAACAAAGCTGGATCGAATGCAAGGATTGTGATCTCGGGCCATCGCTAATTTGATTCAATTTGCCGCCGCCTCGTTTCGCATTTTTGTTAAACCCCCCCCCCCCCCAAAAAAAAAATAAGAGGCGGCAAATAAAATATAATTTGCCTTTTTGAGGAGGAGATACAGTGTTCGGTTCCAATTGTGTCTCAATGAACTTCGACTCCAAAGGTACAGTGCTTTTACCCAGACCAAACACCAGATGGTGTGCACACTCTGTCTGACTGTGTGTGTGTGTGTGTGTGTGTGGGGGGGGGGGGTTGGGGGGTGGGGGGAGAGAGAGAAAGTTTTTTTTGGTGGAGAAACATTTTACATCAGTTTTTTTTGAAAAAGCGGAAAAAAAAACTTTTTTCCCCTTCTCTCTCTTTCTGGGTCGAGAACAGAGAAAAGTTGGGATTCTGTGGAATTTCCAAGGAGTGGGGTCTCCAGATTGAGAACTCTCACCCAACACCCACCCCCCCAACACCCACCCACCCACACACACCCCCACCCCAACACCCACCCACCCACACACACCCCCACCCCAACACCCCCACCCACACACACCCACACACAACCCACCCCAACACCCACACACACCCCACCCAACACCCACCCACCCACACAACCCCACCCCAACACCCACCCACCCACACACACACACAACCCACCCCAACACCCACACACACACAACCCCACCCCAACACCCACACCACCCACACACACACCCCACCCACACACACCCACCACACACAACCCCACCCCAACACCCACCCACCCACCCACACACCCCCCACCCCAACACCCACCCACCCACACACACCCCCACCCAACACCCACCCACCCACACACACCCACACACACCCCCACCCCAACACCCACACACACACCCCCCCACCCAACACCCACCCACCCCACATACCCCCACACCCACCCCCCACACATACCCCCACCCCAACACCCACCCCCCCCCCCCCACCCCACCCCAACCCACACACAGACCTCATCCGAAACAAACCCAAGTCCAGTTCTGAAATGAACAGGAAAAGTTGGGGCGAAAACTTTTTTTGATGTGTGTGTGTGTGTGTGTGTGTAGATTTTGCCCCCCGGGTTGTGTGAGGTCAGGTCAGGGTGAGAGGGGGCTGAACCCACCGCTAATCTGGGGTGGGGGGGGGGGGGGTCATTTGCTTTCTATCCCCCACCCCACACCCCAGCACCCCCGACAGGCGGAAAATCCCGAGTTTCGTTAAGTTGGGGACATGAGAGGGGGTGAGGGGGTACAGTTGGCAGAATGGGGGTTGTTCCAGAGCAACAGACAACTTGAGTTTATCATTTGCAAACTGTTAAATCCCATTTATTAGTCACACACACACACACACATATAGATATATACACCAACAGATATTCGCAATTTTAAAAAAAAGGCAACTTTGCAAAAGTATTTCGCGTTAAGTACAGAAAAACCCACCCAATCCCCCTGGTCCTCTCTGCCCCCCCCCCCCTCCCCTCCCCTCCCCTCCCGCACAGACAGATGACCTGAAACAAGGCACTCACTTACCTGCATTGGTGTAAACTGTGAAACAAATAATTAGTACTGATAACTTCAATGCAAAGTCCCGAATGCAAGTCCTCGTTTTCCACCGGGTGTGCGTATCCATCGTTAAAAAAAAATAGCTCAGCAGCTTATATATATAGATATACTATATATATATACTATATATATATACTATATATATATATACTGTATATACTATATATATATATACGTTCTAGCCACAGACGAGAGAGAGAGAGAGTTGCAAAAGGGCTGAGCTAAATGTTTGATGCCATTCAGAAATCTCTTTAAAAGCACTTTTTTTTTTGTGTGTGTTGCTTTGCGGGCTCCTGGCTTTCCCCTTCTCTCTCAGCAGTCTGGCCTTTCTCAGACTGACAGAGGGATCGATCCCTTCAGATGATTTCCTGGGGCTGAAAAAATCCTGGACACACAAAAAAAAAAAAAAAAAAATGCCTGTTGGTTAAAGTTCTCAGCCCCCCCACTCCCTCCCCTCTCTCTCTCTTTCTCTTTCTCTTTCTCACTCTCTCTCTCTCTCTCCCTCCCCAGCGAATGCACAGAGAGTCGGCCTCTCCACTTCTCCTGCCCTTCACTTATTGGACCACAGTCAAAACCATTGCTTAGAATATTGTTTGAGGGAAGAAAGAGATTATACTAAATGCTAAGTCTCTCCCCCTCTCCCTCCCAGCCAACCAGCCCTGCGTGTCGGTGCAGCGCCAAGCTTAAAACCTTCGGAAGTCTTGAGTGGGAAGTGATGGGGTTAATTAAACAGGGAAACTCTTTTAAGTTACGCAGACCCGGAGCCACCGCACTTATCACCAAAAGCACCTTGTTGCACCTTATTTAGCGACTTGGCTTTTGGTTCAATTTTGTCTGCGAAGCAACACTTTTACGTACCCTCTGTGGATCTTATACAGTCAATTCACTTTACAGTGTGTTCTGTGAAGCGCTTTGGGACGTCCTCCCGACGTGAAAAGCGCTATATCAAATGCAAGGATTATTATTATTATTATTATTATTATCTCGTCCAACTTGTTCTAAATTCCTGCCTGGCACTGAAATTACCACCTGATTCACCTCTGAATCCTTTTCAGTCGTCTTAAAGTAATTGTCTCAGATAATAATAGTAATTCTCACCTTTAAGAGCCTTATCACATCTTCAAGACGCCTCAAAGCGCTTCACGATATACTGTGAAGTGGATTGACTGTATATTTTGTGGGCGAAACCTCTAAAGGGTGTTCAAAAAAATAGTTCCTGTAAGGATGCAGGGGTGGGAGGGAAGAGTGGGGTGGTGGGTGTTGGAGCCTTTATAAGGCTTATTCTTTTTCTGGCCAGAAAATATCATTTTGGAAAGCAGAGGTTTTTATTGCAACAGGGGGTCCTTGTTATTTGTTTAGTTTAATCCCGTGCCCGCCAAGAGTGGAGGTCGGGTGAGGACAGCCCCATTCCCCCCCTCCCAGCCATGCCACCGCACCCTCACCCAGAGCCAAACACCCTGCATTAAGTTCAGTTACCAGCTCTTGCACTGAGAGTCACTGTGTCAATGAGGAACCCATCAACCTAATGTTTTAGATAGAGGAAGCGAGGACATCTGACAAGGAACTTTATTAAAAATTCTTGGATCAATTATACAGCACAGGAGGAAGCCATATGTATATCCCATCGTGTCCGTGCTGGATCTCTGTAAGAGCTCTGCATTTAGCCCTCTCTTGTGGAGTCGTAGTGGTAGAGCACTCGCCTGCAAATAAGAGGACCCGGGTTCGATTCCCGGGCGGGATGAAACTTCAGGCAAGTTTCTTTACTCCATACACCTCTGTTTATCTAGAAGTAAATAAGAACCTGGTTGTTAGTCAAATGGAGGACCGCTTTCCTGGGAATAATAATCTCTTCAAAAAAACTTCACGGTGACTCAATCCACGACCGTTTGTGGGACACTACTGTATGTAATTGGTTGCCGTCTTTCGCCCTCAACTGTACAGTCAATTCACTTTACCAAATATTCAGTGAAGCGCTTTGAGATATCTTAACAATGTGATAAGCCCCTGCATCAAAGGCAAATATTATTATATATTTTATTTTCTCACACTCCCTTTCACGGTACAACCAGCCACAAAATACACAGTCACTCCACTTTACAGTGAAGTACTTTACTTTTCTTTGGGTCAGTAGGGTGTCTGCTGCATGCAGAAGCCCATCACCATGCTTTAGAGTATCCAAACCAAACTGAGATGTCTCGACAACATGAAAGGCACTCTTGCCTCTGAGTCAGAAGGGTTGTGGGTTTAAGACCCACAACGGGACTTGGAATTCATTTAGGCTCAGAGTGGTGCTGGAGGAAGCATTGCATTGTCGGAGGTGCCGTCCTTTAAATAAGATATTAAACCGAGATCCCGTCTGCCTGTTCAGGTGGATCCCATGGCGCAATTTGAAAAGAGAAGGGACTTTCTCCCGGTGTCCATGACCAAGAAAGTCCCAGATAAAATTGTTCATTCACCTCATGGATGTTTGAGACCTTGCTGTGCGCAACTTGGCTTCTGTCGTCGCCCACAAAATACACAGTCATCACGCTTCATAGTAAATTCCTGCGAAGCGCTTCGAGATGTTCTCCTGACATCAAAAGTACATCAAAAGTAAGGACTTTTTAATTTTTACTTTTCGAATAGTTGCCTCATTCCCTTTCAAAACCTATTAATCTGACACTGTGGAGCCTGGCTCACGTTCCCCCTCTCATTAAACATTTTTCTTCACATTCAGTTGAAAGGGTCTGCTCAGCTCTTAGTTGTTCAGGGAGTGTCACTGGCACGGTCTGGCTACTCTCTTTACCCCTATAAACATGAATTCCTTCAAATCACCTGTAGCTTAGTGAAAGGACCCAGGTTCGATTCCCGGGTGGGGCAAAACCTTTAGCAAGTTTCCACTCACTTTCCGAGTGTAACACAATCCCTCCAAAAAAATGTGGTCACGACTGCTTGTGTGACACTGCTGTGCACAATTGGCTGCTGTGTTTCATCCACAAAATACACAGTCACTCCGCTTTACAATATACCCTGTGAAGCACTTTGAGACGGCTCAACGATGTGATAAGACGCTACATCAAATGCAAGGATTATTATTATTATTATCAATTATATTCTACAAAGTGCTTTGAGAGCTTTATTTTTACCTGAGAAATAGAAGTCCATGTAGAAACGCAGGTTATTGTCAATATGAACCCTACATTACAGCGGAGGTGGGGTGGGGGTGGGGGTGGGGGAGGGTTGTTGGGGAGCTGAGCTCTGGTTAGTGAGATTACATGCCAACTGTACCTGAGAGCAAATGATGACGTCTTTCGTAGAGAGGTCTGGAGATTCTTAGCCCAGTTAGACTGTTAGACTCCACTCATTGATAGCTTCCCCTATAAGGGAATGTTTCTGCATGTGTTGACCCGGTTGAACCCCAACCCCCACACGCCAAAAAAAAAAAGCAACATCTCCTCAGTGGTGGGGTGGGGTGGACGGTACAGCCCGGGTGTCTGTCACATACGGAAACCCATCACCGTGCTTCGAGTAACCAAACCAAGCTGAGAATTCAATGAATCCCATCTACACATGGAAATCCCAGAGTTAGATTGTTGGAATGGAATGCGCTCTCTCTCTCTCTCGCCCTGGAGGGATGCATCCTGCTTACTTAATTCCAGAAAGTATTAGGCACAGGTCGGCAAGAACGAAGGCTCGGGGACCCCAGAGTGTGCGTTGGGGTAACTGACCTAGTGTAACCAGCTAACCGGTTGAATCTATAGTGTGCGTGTCTGGTCCACACTTAGACTGAGGCATGTTGGTCACACAAGGTACAGTGTTTCCCCTGGTTTCTCCCGCTCACTGCTGAGCCCCACAGGAGACTCATAGTTATTCAGTGTCAGTGAAGGGAGGGTTACAGATTGCCTCGCGCCAGTGTTTACCAATTTAGCAACAGTCAACACACTTCAAAGCGGCACGGTGCCCAGAGAGCCTGGCGTGTCCACGTCGGAATTGTCAGAAAGGTGGGAATTGTCGGAATCGTGGGAATTGTCGAATTGGGTCACACAATGGCAACCGCGGAAATGTCAACGTCGTGTGAATTCGCGGGATTCTGGGAGCTGCTGGAATTCTTGGCGCTGTCGAAAACATCGGCGCACCGGGTTTGACGGAAACGTTGGGATTTTTCCGCACCGTCCGAGTTGTGGGAATTGTCGAAAGGATCGAAATCGAAGGAACCAGAGAAATTATGTCGGAATTGTCATAAATGTGGGGATTTTCAGAATTGTTAGAATGTCAGAATTATCAGAAGCTTTATTAGGCTCAGACAATAATATTTTCCTTTTCCCCAGGCCCCAAACCCCACCCCTCCCACTCCACCCACCTGCCCGGCCCAGCCCGTCTGACAGGTGCATATGTGTACATGGAGTCCTGTATCTCAGTGATTAGAGCACTCGCTTTGCAAGCAAGAGACCTGGGTTCGATTCCCGGCCAGGGTGAAACCTTGGGCAAGTTTCTTACTCCACACGCCTGATAATAATCCCTCAAGAGACGTCTAGAAGATGTGAAAAGCACTATATCAAATGCAAGGATTATTATTATTAATATTATTATCTTAAGGTCAGGCTAGATCACCGAGGCATCAGTTACCTGGAGGTAGATGAAGACTGCAGTGTTTTTGCCCCCCCACCCCCGCTCACCAGGTACGGGGACAGAGCAGAGGAAAGGGTGGCATGCTACGGCAGAGCTCCTTTAAGAAGCGCAGATGTACTGCGGAAATAGCCATCGAATAAATACTTCACTACATCTGGGTCGAGTTATACTTTTGTGGAAATCAGCACTGTGAGAAGGCTCCACCTCAGTTCTCAAAAATAAACCAAATTACCACTGAAGTATGTCACCACAGCAGCGAGGAGACACACCAGCCAAGCAGCACAGGCCACTGAGACTGAGACTGAGTGGAGGATGCTCATTACAGCTGGGCCCCTGGTCCTGTCACTGGGATGTTGTTGTGGGATAGAGCCGGGCAGATACTCTCTGCATAAAAATAATAGCATCGTACCCAGCCTTGCATTTGACACAGGGCCTTAAACGTCCAAACGTCTCCAAGTGCCCCACGTGGAATTGCTGTCTAGGGGACTGTGTATAATGAAA